AGACCTCAATTTACATCTGTTAATATTAACATAATCTTGTCTCTGTATGTATTTACCTTGTCCCATTCCTTACTTCAGAAAATAAGATTGTTCGTCCTTCAAAGAAAACTTTACCACCTATTCTGAAATGTCTGTATTATCACTTTTCGGCAACCTTGTTGTCCTCACACCTGTCTTTTTGGCAAAACATTTCCAATTCTACCAGCTACTTGATGTTGTTACATTTGACACTAACTACTTCTTTTAAAAATATATATATATATATATTTAATTTTAATGGAGAGGGAGAGAGAGATAGAAACATCAATGATGAAAAAAATCATTGATCGACTGCCTTTGCATGCCCCCCAATGGGAATTGAGCCCACAAATGGGGTATGTGCCCTGATAGGAATCAAACCGTGACCTCCAGGTTCATAGGTCAATGCTCAACCACTGAGCCACGCCGGCTGGGCATAACCACTTTTTTATTACAGCTTCTCTCTCAGACGATTATCATGACATTTCCCTATTTTTAGTTTCTTTTACACCCTCTCCCCCTTAATGCTTAGCATTCTTTTCTCCTCACCAAGTTAAATCTTTATTCCTGTTTTCTCTGAGTCTACTAAAGAATGGGATGGAAAAGAAATTGGGGAATAGAGGGTGGATAGGGAAGATGTTTATGCTGGCCATTTGTAGCTCCTCACATATACTGAGGTGGAAAAAATTGACAACTATTGCTCACCATTCTCATTTATTCTTATAGTTATCATACTTACTTACATCTATATAATGTTTCCCTAATTCTATTTTTTTCTATAATTTTCACCTCTTTCCTGACCCAATCCATATTTCTAGAGGCATAATGAACATTTATATTTTTGTCAGACATTACTGACCTGACACGATCTAAGTTTGACATCAACTTTCCCACCTAAAACACCTTCTCTATCTTTTGAATGGCCCAAGAAATTTCCATTGCCCAGGTTAGAAAAAGTGCCATCTTCTTCATTTCCTATATCCAGGTAGTAATCATTTCATCATTTAGACCGTGACATCATAGAGAAGGGGCAAAGAATTCCCCATACAAAAGAGCTATCCTTATCAATTCTTCCTGCTACATTCACTAGTCTCACCTCTAATCTAATCTCAAGCAAAAAGACCACTTTCACCATGTCATTCCTCTGTCTAGTAATCTCTATTCTAAAACGCCCCCACAGCTATGACACCTGACGCCATCATGACCAAACGCCAAATGATTTCTTCATGGGAACAAGTAAGTGTTGCTCTGTTCAATTCTCATCTTCCAACAAAGGTCAATTTATTTATTTATTTATTTATTTTTTAATATATTTTATTGATTTTTGTACAGAGAGGAAGGGAGAGAGATAGAGAGGTAGAAACATCGATGGAGAGAGTCATCGATCAGCTGCCTCTTGCACACCCCCTACTGGGGATATGCCCACAACTAAGGTACATGCCCTTGACCGGAATCGAACCCGGGACCTTTCAGTCCCCAAGCCGACGCTCTATCCATTGAGCCAAACCGGTCTCGGCCCAACAAAGGTCAATTTAAATGCTCCTGAGAAAGAAAGGTAGGGCAGGAAACTTATCTCCGTCCACAACTGCCTTCAAAGTGGGCGGGGAGGCGGGCTCCGGTGGGTGGGGACTTGACGCCTGGTCCCACGCACGGTCTGGGTCTTGCACAATTTCGCTCGGAGGGACTCTAGTTTATAATAACTCCCTAATACAGCTATATATAAAGTTTAAACACAACCAGTGATGGTCCTCTGAAATCTGATACCTACCTTCATACTCTATTTACTATTTTTCTCTACTATAGCATTTCTCAAACTTTTTGGTCTTAGAACCCTCTACAGTCCTAACATTTGTGAGGTCTCTGAAGAGCTATATGGGTTACATCTACCAATACTTAAGATACTGAAAATGAAAACTGAGAAAAATTTTAAACACAATACACAAGCAAACATTCTACTATCAGAGCAATGTAATCATATATCATGCAGTCTGGAAAACTACACTGATACTTGTGAGAGAATGAAAATGAAAAAGGCAAATAGCATCTTAGTATTATTATTAAAATATTTTTTACTTCTAGAACCCCTGGCTCACTTTAAGAACACTGCTCTATCTAACCTTGATTCTTTTAACCTTTTCCCTATCAACCATTGAGGATTACTGATTTGCAACTTTTGTGTGCAGCAATAGTCTGGAGGCAGAGAGAAGACTAAGAACTACAGGTTTATAAAATAATCTTCAAATTCATTAATGTGCTCACAGTCTAATCCCACTATTATTTCCTGCTATTGCATTTCCCACCCTCCTCCACTGTACTCCCCAAATAGAACAAATGTTTTTCTGCTTCAGCATCTTTGAATACAGCATTCCATTTGTGTGGAAGGCCTTTTCTCACTCATCCTTCAGACCCAATTCATAGGTTATCACTTCTTTGAAGCTTTCTATTAACACATCCCATTCCCAATTAACTTTTTCTGTAATTCCATAGCACATTTAGAACTTCTCACATTGCACCATGATTACTGTTCATAAGTCTGTCTCCCCGCTAATAGAGATCTAGATGAGAGCAGACTTGCATCTTTTTTTAATTTTAATTTTTTGTTAATCCTCACCTGAGGATATTTTCCCACTGATTTTTAGGGAGAGTGGAAGAGAAGTAAAGACAGAAACATGGATGTGAGAGAAACACATAGATTGGTTGCCTCCTGCATGAGCCCTGACCAGGAGCTGGGCCATGGAGGAGCCTGCAACCCTTGTATGTGCCCTTGACCAGAATCAAATCCGACACTCTATCCACTGAGCCAAACAGGCTAGGGCCAGACTTGCATCTTATTGATCTTTCTATTTCTCAAGTGAATGATCAAACGTTTGGGGGAACCCAAACGTTTGATCATTCACTTGAAGTCATGTCTTTCAGAGTCAGTTCAGCCTGGCCAGTGTGGCTCAATGGTTCAACATCGACCTATGAACCAGGAAGTCATGGTTCGATCCCAAGTTAGGCATATGCCTGAGTTGGGTTGTGGGCTTGATCCCCAGTTTTGGGGTTTGGGAATGCAGGAGGCAGCCAATCAATAATTCTCTCTCATTATTGATGTTTCTATCTCCCTCTCTGAAATCAACAAAAATATATTTAAAAGAGTCAGTTCAATGCTCATCTATCCCCAAATATTCCATAGTATTTTTTCCCCTTCCTCTGAACTTCTGCAGTACTATATAGAAATTAAGAAGAAAAATGAAGCTTAAAGGAAACTGTTATAACCTTCCTACAAAAAGACTGGGAACTCTGGACCACAGGATCAAGTCCAATTCCCTACTTTGCATCAATTGGCTCTTCTTTACCTTTCAATTTTATTTTCTATTATTCTCCAATATGAACTGACCACCCCTGTCATCCAACTCTAACTCTCACTCTCTCTCTCTCTATCTCTCCATTCTATTTTATTTTCTTCTCTTTCCCAGGAATTCCATTTCTTTTTTAAATTCTATTTTTCCTTAAAAACTTGGTTCAAGACCCAAAGATTCCAGGAAGTTCTCTGGGACTATGCTAGACCAAAGGAAAATTTCCCCTTTTGAGATATCCAATGTATTTCAATCTGTTTCCTATAACCTAGTATGTATAGTGTATGGTCCTGCATCACTCTTTGATCATTTCAAGTAAGTCAATGCTGCAACCCCAAATAGCTTTAAGAGCAGGCACAGTTTTCATTTAAAACATTTGAGTGCCAGGATGTACCAGATAATGGTAAGATTTCTAATCTTATTTCTTTTGCATAAAACCTTTCTAGTAACAGGGAGACGAAGGCATATAATAAATACTATAGTATTTATTCTCTTAACTTGATTTACACCTTAACTGGTCAGAACATTCCAGGTTATTTTTTGTGTAGGGAACATTTTATCTGCAGACATAATTATCAATTTGAAAATAAAATATGCTATGAGATGTATCTTCTCAGCACCTTGAAACTGCAAGCTCAGATATGATACTCCATTTATAGATAACTCACTCTGAGTCTGAACAAATATTCTTACCTTTGAAGGCCCTCCCTTTAATGTTCCTTTACCTTGAATATATCTTTTCTTATTTTAGTTGGTACAATTTTAGCTCCCTTAACGCATTCTGATGCATGGTTACTGGTGATAATGCCAAACTATTTAAGAGCCAAAGAGGAGTAAAAATCATGCATAAATGTAAAATATAATCTTTGAAAACCAAGAAGTTGCTGAGACCGGTTTGGCTCAATGGATAGACGTCGGCTTGGGGACTGAAGGGTCCCGGGTTCGATTCCGGTCAAGGGCACATACCTTGGTTGTGGGCATATCCCCAGTAGGGGGTGTGCAAGAGGCAGCTGATCGATGACTCTCATAGATGTTTCTAACTATCTCTCTCCCTTCTTCTCTGTACAAAATCAATAAAATATATTTAAAAAAGAAAAAGAAAACCAAGAAGTTGTGGTAATTGGGTCTTGGACCAATATGTTTCCTTAAATGGGATTTAAGGGGCCACATCTTCCCTATCACCATTTCCTTAAGTGTCCACACCCAAATGGAACAAGCATTAGTTGAAAAATACATTACACATAACCATTAGAACTTGGTCCCTGACATCATGGGTTGATGATAATTTCTGAACATCATTTCCCCCCTTTATTCACTCTTTTACATATGTGATAAAGTCAATAAGAAGAAATACATTTAAAAAATATAGTTTAAAAGTAATCGTAGGATTTAGGATGTCCTCAGCCCTAGTTTTTTGTGAGTATTATCAATCATAACTAAATGTTAAGTGAGACCTGAGGTTGCCAGCAATTCTTTCTGATATATGTATAATTCGGAGTCCCCGAATGAATCTCATGTGATAAGAAAAGGGAACTGATGAATGAGGAAAGAGGGGAGGAAGACATCAGTGGACTGGGAGCGGCTCCCCTACCCCGTTTCCCTCCTCCCCAAAAGCTATAGGAGACAGGAAGCCACAGAATGTACCTTCCAGGCCAGAAGCAAAACATTGAGGATGGCCAGCAAAGGGCAGGGTCCGTTCTCATTCTGGGTGATGATGGGTGTGTGCTCTTCCTTCCACTGGATCCACTTGATGTGATAGACAGATTGTCCCGGGAAGCGTTCCTTGGAGGCCGCGAGCACCTGAGCCGCCTCCCCCTCTTCTTCCTCCCCTCTGCACAGGGGCACAGCCCCGGGCACCGCCGCCGCGGCGCCCGCTTCCCTCTCCTCCTCCTCCTCCGGGACCCTGCTCTCAGCGCCCTCCTCGCTGTTGAACTCGGAGCTACTGGGGAAAGAATGGAGGTTAGAGAACGACTCCAAGGAGTCCAGGCTGGGCGATTCCCCGGCGGGGCTCGGGTCGCTGCAACTGCTGCTGAGGCCGCCGGCGCCGCTGGGCTCTTCGCAGCCCGGGGCCGCTGCCTCCGGCGGGCAGGTGCCTGCGGGGTCAGGCCCGGTGCCCGCGCGTCCGGCGGCACCCAGCCCCTGGCCCGCTCCGGCGGCCTCGGCTGGCTCCGGGGAGGCGGTCACCTTGCGCTGCCCTCTCAGAGGCACCTTCTGGGCAGCAGGACTCTCCAAATCGCTCTCCGGCAAGTCCGAGCCTCGGGAAGCGCTGCAGGGTCCGGGGAGCTGAGAAGAGCTGGCGGAAGCCACCGTGTCCGGGAGGCTCCTCCCGGCGGCGGCCGCCGCCCCCTGCCCATTCCCGCCGCCGCCGCTCTCCGCCGCCCATACTTCGGGACCATCCCCAGCCGCGAGCCCGGGCTCCGGCCGCCCTTCCTGCGCAGACGCTGTCCCCGGCGCTGCTGGCCCGGCGGCCACCCTGTGCTCTAGCGGTTGCTGCAGGCTCTCGAGGCCGCTCTCCATACCCAGCCGCCCGCTCCTCGCTTCTAAAGAGACCGCGGCGGGTTCTCCTCGCCCAGCGCCTCCGACGCCATGACAGCGGCACTGGCAGCTACTGCGCCTCAGCGTAGCCCGGGCCAGGCACGTCAGGGGCGGGGGGGGGGAGGAGGGGGGGAAGGAGGGCGCCGGGAGCGCGCGCGCCGCTGCGCGGTCCGCCAGCTCCCGGCGTGCCCGCGCGCCGCCCCGGGGAAGGCCAAGCCGCGCGGCCCCGCCCTTCCCCGAGCGCGCACGCGCGCTGGCCGGCCCGCCGGAGCGCGCGCTCTCGAAGGGCGTGGCGTGGTGGGCGTGGCCGAGAGGAAAACATCCTCTCACTATGTGACCGGAAGTTGAACTCCGGGGCAGCCAGACCGCAAGCGGCTTATTTAAAGGCGAGGCGGAGGCTCACCGCTTGCTTGGCTGCGATCCTGGAGAGCCAGCTCTGGTGTGTCCCCAGTCTTGGGCTCGTAAATCCTGAGCTAGCGGTGGTAGGTGGCAGTACTTGGAAAAGAGCTCGCCCGCCCTTGAAGGATGTTCAGATTTGTTTCCCCAGCTTTGTAATATGGAAAATTGAGCTATTATCTTGCGACATGCAGATGTTAAAGGCTGGGGTCTACTGGAGATGCCTGGATGACTGCACTGAACAAATTCCAGTCTCCATGCTCCCACCGACTGCTGATGAAAACGTTCGCCCTGCAACTGCCGTCTGGACAATTGTGGATATTGGCCTGTGCAGGAAAAAAAAAAAAAAAGTGGACCCTTTGGGCCAATAATAATAAATTAGCTTGTGCTTGAATTAGCCAAGTCTTTGCGGTTCTGTTAACTTGGCATCACTTTTCTTGGAGTAGGAAGTGCCTGTTCCTGAAAAAGTGACTTTTCTAATTTGAACTGACACCTCATTAGGCCGAGCAATTATCAAAGAGGACAGAGTAGGCTGGAAGATTTTGGGTGGCAGTGGATTTGGGTCCTCTTCAAACCTGTTTCAGACAAGGCCCTTTTTCCCCTTAAAAAAAAAAAATTGCAATATTTTCCAAGATCTGGGAATACAAAATTTGACAAAACAGATCTTCTTTCATAGTCAGACATGAAAGTGCCTGATAACTAACAGAATGTAATCTTTTGTATCTCTTGGTTAGAGAAGATAGAATTGCAAAGTAGTGTTTGATTCATTGAACACATTCCTTTAGTTAAGTGTGATGTAAAATATACCATTTAAAATAAATTAGTTACTTTCCAAAATTTAAAATTAATTTCCAGCCGAAACCTGTTTGGCTCAGTGGGTAGAGCGTCAGCCTGCGGACTGAAAGGTCCAGGGTTGATTCCGGTCAAGGGCATGTACCTGGGATGCGGGCACATCCCCAGAAGGAGGCGTGCAAGAGGCAGCTGATGGATGATTCTCATGTTTCTAACTCTCTATCCGTCTCCTTTCTTCTCTGTAAAAAAATCAATAAAATATATATAAAAAATAAATAATACAAATACATTAAAAATAATTTTTAAAATTAAATGTATTGGGGTAATATCAGCTAGTAGCATCGTAATTTTTCTCTATGCTTTTGAATTGTTTTTTAAGAAGCAGTCCCATTCAACTCATATATTTTTTAGCTCCTTACTCAGTGCATTCATCACTAACATGATTACACTCTGATTTCTTCATTTAAAAGTTGTAGATATTATTTATTGATTGATTCCCATGGAAGATGATTTAATTCTTTTCTCTCATAACATTCTTCCTCTTGCTCCAAACTCCTAATTATTTAAAAATTTTCAATTAAATAAAGTACTCAAAGTTTAAAGTGCTAGAGTTACGTGAATATTATTCACTAATAAGTGAGATATTTTACTATGACTGTGATTACATTTCTTGTTAAACATTTTGTTTTTCCTGGAATTAACAATTGCCTCATCATTTTGTTTGTGTGTTTAACTCTTTATCATTAACTCAGCCACAGACTTACCAGTATGGTCACCCATATCAAGTTGCCCCTCAGATGCATTTTAATCTTGAGTACATCCTCCTGGAACCTCTTGATCTGCTCTGTTTTAGAAATTCCTTCCTCCTTTCTTCCATCTTGATTCCTTACTTTTCTTGGATTTCCTGTTCTCTTCCTTTTTCCCTTTCCTTTTCCTCCTTCCTTCCTTTTTTAAATTTTTAAAATATTTTATTTATTAAAAAACTTCCTATCCCAAAACCGGTTTGGCTCAGTGGATAGAGCATCGGCCTGCAGACCAAAGGGTCCTGGGTTCGATTCCAGTCAAGGGCATGTACCTGGGTTGTGGGCACATCCCCAGTGGGGGGTGTGCAGGAGGCAGCTGATCGATGTTTCTCTCTCATTGATGCTTCTAGCTCTCTATCTCTCTCCCTTCCTCTCTGTAAAAAATCAATAAAATATATTGAAAAAAAACTTCCTATGTGACAGATTTGATTCATTGTATGCCCTTGTCTGGAATTGAACCTGGGACCCTTCAGTCGGCAGGTTGTTGCTCTATCCAATGAGCCAAACCAGATAGGGCTCAAAATGATTATTCTTTTAAAACTCTCTATTTTTCTTAGTTGGGTCATAGCTTTTCTAGTTTCTATGACAGAAAAATAAATCTTTTATTTATTTTTTCTTTATTGATTAAGGTATTACATATGTGTCCTTATCCTCCCATTGCCCCACCCCACTCCCACCCCCTATTCATGTCCCCACCCCCCTGGTGTCTGTGTCCATTGGTTAGGCTAATATGCATGCAAACAAGTCCTTTGTTTGATTTCTCCCTCTTAACCCTCCCCTCCCCTACCTTCCTCTGAGGTTTGATGGTCTGATACATGCTTCTCTGTCTCTGGATCTGCTTTTGTTTATCAGTTTATGTTGTTCATTATATTCCACAAATGAGTGAGATCATGTGATAGTTATCTTTCTCTTACTGGCTTATTTCACTTTACATAATGCTCTCCAGGTCCATCCATGCTGTTGCAAATGGTAAGAATTCCTTCTTTTTATAGCAGCATAGTATTCCATTATACCACAGTTTTGTAATCCACTCATCTGCTGAAGGGCACTTAGGCTGTTTCCAAATCCTAGCTATGGTAAATTGTGCTGCTATGAACATAGGGATGCATATATCCTTTCTGATTGTTGTTTCTAGTTTCTTGGGATATATTCCTAGAAGTGGGATCACTGGGTCAAATGGGAGTTCCATTTTTAAATTTTTGAGGAAATTCTATACTGTTTTCCACAGTGGTTGTACCAGTTTGCATTTCCGCTAGCAGTGCTTGAGGGTTCCTTTTTCTCTGCATGCTTATCAGCACTTGCCATTTGTTGATTGTTGATGATAGCCATTCTGACAAGGTGTGAGATGGTACAGCATTGTTTTGATTTGTATCTCTCGGATCCCCTTTCTTTCTTTCTTTCTTTCTTTCTTTCTTTCTTTCTTTCTTTCTTTCTTTCTTTCTTTCTTTCTTTCTTTCTTTTCACCCAAGATATGTTTTTCAGTGATTAGAGAGAGGGACAGAGGAAGGAAGAGGGAGAGAGAGAAGCATTTTTATGAAAGAGAAACATTGATTGGTTGGCTCATGCCATCCCCTGACTGGGAATCAAACCCATAACTTGGGTATATGTCCTGCCCAGGAATTGAACCCTTGATCCTTCAGTGCATGGGACAATGCTCTAACCAGAGAAATACAGGCCAGGCCTATTGTCTTCTTCTTCTTCTTCTTTTTTTTTTTTTCTTTTTTTCCCCACCAAACTTTTCCTTTTGTATTTAGAAAATATTTCAGTGAAGTCTATGGGTAATTATTTTCTGTAATCAGCTTCCTGACTAAAGAAAGGCCCTTTCAATTCTGAGTTCAGCTGTCTATGACTAAGGGTTGAGGCATTTGAATCATTTTCTCTTCTGAGTACTCTGGGAAACCTGTGGTTTATAGTTGACTTTTCTGAAAACAGTTGGATCTCAGAAATTTGAATTCAAGGGGTACACTAAAATCCCATATGGTACCTTTTTGTCAAAAGCCACATGCGCAGGAATAAATTCTGGAGGTGCAGCCTGCTTAGGTTCACCATATGTTAGAAGTGGTGCCTTGTTGGCCAACTCATCCAGGTCAGCCTGGGACCCTGGTTGACCTGGAGCCGGTCCCCGCCTATTCCAACCGTTGGACGACGAGCCATTGCATAGCCATGCGAGTAGTTCAGTGTCTGGCTTCTATGGAAGTCTGTTTTCGTGGGGTCCGCACAGGACGTGCCCGGGAGAAGGGGCAGACCAGGCTCGGGGTTGGACATCATAGCGTCCGCTACACCGCCGCCGCCGCCTTGGGAGGGCTTTATCGTCCCCGGTTGCCCGGGCGACGTGCCACGATCGTGGGTCTCCGGGCGTTCCATGGCGACACCAAACTGCGCGGGCACCTGCGTGCGAAATCTGTCTTCTTTCTTTAATTTGATTGAATATACCCTTAGCTTCCTGAGAAAAAATGCATAGGAAGCACACTTTTATAGATCACATATGTGTGAAAAAAATATCTTTTATTCTATCTACATTTTATAGTTTGGTTGGATATAAATTCAACATTGGAAATACCTTTTCATCATTTTGAAGTTATTGATCAATTCTTTTCTAGATTCCAGGTGATTATAGAGTTGGATACTATTAGACTCCAAAACCTTTTATATAACCTGTTTCTTCTCTCTGAAGTTTATTTGATCTCTTTCTTCTTGGTATCCTGATATTTCAGAATTTGATATATCTTTGGGTGAGTCATGCTTTATTTATTGGGCTAGGTACTTGGTGATATTCATATTCAATGAAGAAACTTAAGTCCTTCAGGTCTGGGAAATTTTCTTTTTTCATGTTTTTTTTTTTTTTTTTTAATAATTCTTACCTTTTCTCTAATTTTATTTATGTTTTTGTTCTACTTTCTAAGAGATTTCCTCTAATTTATCTTTCAGTTCTTTTTAATGCATTGTTCATTGATATTACGTATTTAATTTCTAAGAGTTCTTTCTAGTTCCTTTTTATTGTTTCATGTCATTCTGATATATTTTATTGATTTTTTACAGAGAGGAAGAGAGGGATAGAGAGTTAGAAACATGAATGAGAGAGAAATATCGATCAGCCTCCTCCTGCACACCCCCTACTGGGGATGTGCCCGCAACCAAGGTACATGCCCTTGACCAGAATCGAACCTGGACCTTTCAGTCCATAGGCTGATGCTCTATCCACTAGCAAAACTGGTTTTAGCCATGTCTTAGAATATTGATTATAGTTTTTTAAATTGATTTCAGAGAGAAAAGGAGAGGGAGAGATAGAAACATCAACGATGAGACAGAATCATTGATCAGCTGCCTCCTGCACACCTGGGGATCAAGCCCACAACCTGGGCATGTGCCCTTGACTGGAATTGAACCTGGGACCCTTCAGTCGGCAGGTTGTTGCTCTATCCAATGAGCCAAACCAGATAGGGCTCAAAATGATTATTCTTTTAAAATTCTCTATTTTTCTTAGTTGGGTCATAGCTTTTCTAGTTTCCATGACAGAAAAGTTGGTCCCATCTTTCACTTTTGCCCTAATTTACTTGCTGAATATTATCTCATCTATCAAGTCTTGGCTGATATTATATACCACTTTCCTACTTCATTTGCCTGTAATCACCCTCTAGCTTAGTGCTTATTATTATACCTTACTACTAGAGGGTGGCAGAATTCTAATTATTCCCCAGACTACGGTTTTCTCTTTCTCAGGTTTATCCTGCATAAACATGTAAGAGCTATAATTCACACACCTTGCTTTTATTTTGTTGATGATTCTACTAAAAATAATAAGAGGGTTGTTTATTGTTAGCTGACTTAAAATGTGGCTCTTAGCAGAAGATGCTGAACGTATGTATATACTTTTACACCCTATAGCTTTTTACTCAAGATACAGTGAAAAAATTCTGAGTTAAAATGAAAGGTTTCCATGTAACTCAAATTGCCCTGGCTCTGGCCCTCAACTGCTTATGCAGAAACTCCAGCTTCCTGCAAAGTACTTTCCCTATTTAATTATTTCTGAGAGCCCCCATGAGGAGTCCCACACCTGTTCGAAAACAAATCCAATTCTATGATATTCTACCAGGTGCTGCTTCTATTCCATGCTGCTTCACCAGATGCTAGTCCGTCCTGGTGGTGTTGAAGATACATGATGGAGAATGGAGGGAAATGACCTTCTTTTCCCTTTTATTATAGCTCTGATATGCAATAATATTTGTGCAGTTCTCTCAATTTTATTTATGCAGTCCTTTTTAAAAGTGGGACCCAAATATGGGTCCAGATAGGCTGCACCAGGAATGAATTAAAAGAATATATTTCATTACCTTCAACTCAGAATCCCTACACCTCTTGTCTTACACCAAGTGTTTAAGGTTTTGTTATTGGATCAAGCATATCATGTTTAAGGCTTAAGACTTCTTTCTTAGGATTTCTCTCTTCACACATGCTTCTGCCCTACCAACCCACTAGTTTGCCAGATATCCCTCAACTCTAGTACAGTCATTCTCAAAGTGTAGTTTTTGGATTAGTAGTATCAACATCACCTCTGGGAACTTATTAAAAATGAAAATTCTCTACTCCAAGAATTTTCTATTCTACAGAATCAGAAACTCTTAGTGTAGAGGTCTGTTTTAATAAGACCTGTAGGAGTTCTAATACATGAAAAGTTTTGAGACTTACTATTCTAGCAATTGGGAGAGCCTCCCCCCACCCCTATAGCAAAAAAATAAATAAATATTTTATATATACATATATATAGAAGCCTAAGTGATCCTTATGACCTAACGACTAGAACGACCTGTTGACCAGTCACTGTGATGCGCACTGACAACCAAGGGGCAGATGATCGATGCAGGAGTTGCCCCCTGATGGTCAGTGTGCTCCCACAGGGGGAGTGCTGCTCAGCCAGAAGCCGGGTTCACAGCTGGCAAGCACAGCTGCAGGGTCAGGAGCCTCTCCAGATTCCACAGCAGCACTACCAAGTGGCAGCAGCAGGTGTGTGTAGCTGGCGGGAATGAGTGTGAGCAGCACCTGGCCCTGGCTCTAGCTCCTGTTTGGCTGCTGCCACTTAGCACAGTGCTACATAACCCCGGGGGTCCGGGATTGCAAGAGGGCACAGGCCAGGCTGAGGGACCTCCTCCTTCCCCTCCCTCCCCCCCCATGCATGAATCTGTGCACTGGGCCTCTAGTAATAAAGTTAAAAAAAAAAAAAAAAAAAAAGCTTCTATGCCCGACTGGTGTGGCTCAGTGGTTGAGCATTGACCTGGTAAACCAGGAAGTCACAGTTTGATTCTTGGTCTGGGCACTTACCCAGTTGTGGGCTTGACACCCAGTGGGGTACATAGGAGGCAGCTGATCAATGATTCTCATCACTGATGTTTCTATCTCCCTGTCCCACTCCCTTCCTCTCTGAAGTCAATAAAAATATGTTTTAAAAAAAGAATAAAAGCTTCTAAATTTACCTTCTATCACCATTTTGATTTTTCATTATTCTCCCAGAACTCCATAATGCTCCAAAGTTAGTCTTTTGGTCATTTTTTCAATGTACTCACTCAAGGATTTTATTTATGTGTGTGTATGTCCACCTTTAAAGTCATGTTTAAAACTATATTTTATCATTCTCATCATCAATGTTTCTTTCTCTTCCTCTCCCTTCCTCTCTGAAATAAAAATATATTTTTAAAAATAAAAAAGAGAATGTGTTGACTTGCTAACATGAATATCTAACTTATAAAATAATGAGGTGACATTTTGATCAAGACATAAGTATCCTGAGATTTTAGCACCTGGTTGGCTGATCAAATCAGGGTGCACTGAGAAAAATCAAGCTTCTGCACCTTCAAAGCCAAGAAGTAGATTTTGGACCATGCAATGATATTAAGAGTAGATTCACCCAGGAGTCAAAAAGTCTCAAAGTTAAACAAACTTGGGTTGGAAGCCTTGTCTGCCACTGTTTCCTTATTTGTATAATGGGATATACCTACTTCACAGCATTGTAAAGTGCTATCATGGTGCCTGGTACTATGTCAGAAATATTGTCTTGGCAGTCTGGCAATCTTTAAATCAGGAGTAGAACAAATATTTTTTGTGTGCCCTTTGCTTACCTTAAAATTTCTATATCTCTGCCCTCTGCAATATCAGGATAATAATACAAGAATTTCCACAAAGTAACAAAACACATGACTAATTGCAGATGAGGAAACAAATAATATATATTTTGGACTAAGCTATGATTGAGATTAGTTAATGGTGGCTTAGTAGTTGAGCATTGACCTATGAACGAGGAGGTCACAGTTTGATTCCCAGTTGGGGCACAAGCCTGGATTGTGGGCTCAGTCCCCAGTAGGGGGGCATGCAGGAGGCAGCTGATCAATGATTCTGTCTCATCACTGATGTTTCTATATCTCTTTGCCTCTCCCTTCCTTTCTGAAATAAATAAAAATATATTTAAATATGTATTTTAAATTTTGAATTTAGATTTTAACAAGATAGCTCCTAATTGTTGAAAATTGACATAAATAAAAATTGATTACAAGTCAAACCAAACATGTTCTGAGTCAATTTGCTTTATGAGCTATAAGGCTGTGACCAAAGTTTCAAATTCTAGGTAATATTTATTATTTATTTTTATTATTATTATTTAAAAAGTATATTTTATTGATTTTTTTACAGAGAGGAAGGAAGAGAGATAGTTAAAAACATTGATGAGAGAGAAATATTGATTAGTCACCTCCTGTACACCCCCTAAGGGGGATGTGCCCACAACCAAGGTACATGCCCTTGACCAAAATCGAACCTGGGACTTTTCAGTCCGCAGGCTGACGCTCTATCCACTGAGCCAAACCAGTAATACTTATTTAAAGACTAGAAGCCCAGTGCACAGATTCATGCACTGGTGGGGCCCCTCAGCCTGGCCTGTGGGGTTCAGGCCAAAACTGGCTCTCCAACATCCTCTGAGGATCCCAGATTGTGAGAGGGCACAGGCTAGTGTACGATCGGGGCCAAGGAGGGCTCCAGGGTGTGTCCAGTCTCTCTCACCCAGTCCCCAGCAGCTGGACCCCAACAGCAAGCTAACCTACTGGTTGAGCATCTGGTCAAATATAATAAATGGTCATATACTCAGCATATTGGGCTTTCATTATGTAGTATAACTGAGGCATATTAAAATTGTTATGAGTTTACTGAGTAAAAATTGATTAAAATCAGACAGCATCCAATTTAGCATATAGAAAGGAGCTATACAAAATGAAAGAGTTTAATAAGCAGAAGGGAGAAGGAGTAAGGAGGTTATAGTTGGGCAAAAAAGCGGGTTCGTCATTATTATAGGCTCATGTTCCTTTAGGGCAGTGGTTCTCAAC